AGTGGCGAGGAGACGAGAGACAGTGGGACTGGTAGCACGAGCGCGGTCAGACTCAGGGTCAGGGACCTCAGGAAGAGAGGACTCAGGAGGAGCAGTCAGAGGAACACATAGAGGAATAGAGGAAGGACGAAGGGTCATAGCGTGCGTGCCAGGGACAGGAGGAGGACGCGAACGAGGAACGCGACGAGCAGTGCGACGTCGAGACAGGACGAGACGCAGGCTCACGACGCTCTGTAAAACCGCCTGACTGCTCAGTGTAAGGAGAAGGAGCAGGAAGAGGAGAGGCCAGCTGTAACGGCGGCAGCGACCGGCCAGGCGGGGGACACAGGAGGGGAGGAGTAAGGGCAGTAGAAGGCGGGGTACCAAGAACTTGCTGGAGCAGGGGAACGAAGTACGGTCATGGCCGCACAGCGCCACCAGGGTCAACAGCTCCAACTCCTCCAGCTCCAGCACCTCCAACACCAGGGCCTCCAACTCCAGCGCCTCCTGCGCCAGGGCCACCAACTCCAGCTCCTCCAACTCCAGCGCCACCAGCGCTAGTAGTACCAGACTCCGTAAGGTCTCCAGCTCCAGTACCCTCAACACCACCAGTCCCGGCAGCTCCAGTACCCTGGGTACAAGCACATCCAGGACCAGTGGTCGCAGTACCTCCAGTAACACCAGCTCCAGCAGCAACTCCAGGACCTCCAGCTCCAGCAGGGCCAGCACCTCCAGCTCCAGAAGCTCCACTCCGCAGGCGCGTACGCCGAACAAACCACTCACACAACTGCTGCGGACACAGGCTCGGCGAAGCACCAGCAGAGCCTCCAGACGAAGCAGCACCCTGAGGCTCCGCACCTCCAGACTCCGCACCCTCCGACGCAGCACCCCCAGGCTCAACATCCTCAGGCTCAGCACCCCCAGGCTCACCACCCCCAGTCGCATCACCCCCAGGCTCAGCACCCCCAGTCTCAACACCCCCATACTCAGCACCCCTAGTCTCAGCACCCTCAGACGCTGCACCCCCAGGCTCCGCACCCCCAGACGCAGCACCCCCAGACACAGCACTTGGAGCAGCACCTGAGTCGACCGCTGCATGAACAGGCGCAGGACCATGGAGAGGGTCTACTTGAGACACACCTGAGGGAGCAGGACCCTGGGGTGGGAGGGGGTCCTTTGGAGGGGGACCGGGAGCAAGGAAGAGCGGCGGGGGCAGGGGAGGGGCAGAGCGGTAGGGGAAGAGACGGTAAAAGGGAACCGACTCGTCAAACGTGACGTCCTTAGAAGGGACGACACGGTGCGAGGTGGGGTGGTTAAACTGCCAGCCAAGCGCGTCGGGGACAAAGCCAAGGAAGACACAAGGGATAGCACGGGGGGAGAGATTGTCCGCTGACGTATCACGAACAAAGGCACGAGATCCCCAGACCCGGAACACCGACTCATCGCCAACCTACCCCGTCCAACGCAGTGTGGGCGAGGTCTCTGGCAAGGAGACACTGGGCCAGAGGTTGACGTGATGCGCAGCGTACCGGACCACAAACGGCCACGGAAAATGGGGAGTGTTAGATACAAAGGACGGAGTCTATGAAGATTAGGGGCTGAAATATCTCAAAATCGTCAACTACAATTCTGGACAGAAAAGTTGTCGTCACAAGAAACGTCGTCGACGATTAACGCAATGTTATAATTCTCTCAAACTCGAGCATGTTGTAGCCCTTGACCGTGGCTATCATTCTCAATTTGAATAGTATCAAAATATGGAGTATAACTTGAGTTATGATCTTCGGCGCACTAGGGGGTATGCTGCCATAGAAAACGTAACTGAATCACAATTTTCTCACAAGTTCACACAAGAAAGTTGGAGTAGCAATAAACCAGGTATGAGAGGATGAGGAGGACGAGAGGGAAGGTCCCAAGAGAGTCCCCAACCAAGGAAACCCCATACCACACAATTCCCCCCCTCTATAGGCACCCCAACTTTGACATTTGTCACTTTCCAAACTCATGCCATCCACATCACCCAACTTGGCCACACTAGCCAACCTGGTTTGGCTTCTCCCAACCACTTGGCATCATCTACAGCGATGGTGACGAATTTACCAACCCCCAAAAGTCTGTACCCCATATTGAGTCACTCCACAAATTCCCATAGTCGTCGCATCACAATCAAAACTTCGAACGATCATATCTTTCTCGTTCTTGTTCCGATCGCAACGATTCTTGGTTCGTCGGAAAGCTCTTGAGCAGAGGAGTCACTTCAGATATCTGCCCAAGCCAAATAGCATTCACACACACTCAGAAAATCCAAACCATGCCAAGCACAGATTCTTGCACACACCACGCATGCAACGCACGAACATATGATGGGAGGTAGACAGACGTGAATGCAAATGATAGCATCACATAACAAACTCCCCCTCTGGCTGCCTACCATCATCCCACATGCCATAGCTGAAGCATGCACCCTCAATGCACACTCATTCCAGCAAGCTTCATCCCCTTCCAATGCTCATTTTCAGCCAGGCGCTTGGTGAGAATGTCTGCCGCCTGCTGCTGGGTCTTCACTATCTCCAGCCGCACCTCCTTGTCCAGGAGCCTCCTTGTCCAATGCCACTTTGGCCTGTTGTGCTTTGTCAGGCCATGAAGACAAGCATTCTTCGCAAGCTTCACAGCCGACTCATTGTCACAAAAAATCACAGTCGGCTCCTTCTAGCACACTCCGATCTCCTCCAACAAACGCCTCAGCCACACCACCTCCTTAGCCCCATGATGCAAAGCCATGTACTATGTCTCACACGAGGACAGCCCCACCTCATTCTGCTTCTTGCTGCGCCAGCTTACTGCACCACCTCCAAACAGGCACACATAGCCTCCAATGCTAGTGCCATCCGCCTTCACAGAGTTGAAGCTGGCATCGGTGTAGCAAGTCAAGAGCATCTCCCCATTGCCCAAATCAGCAGCACCCCATTGCTGCCTTTGCCTCACAGCACTGTACTCCAAACCCATAGATGCTGTAGCACTCACATAGCGGACCAACCTCTTGGCCGCTTCTAGCTGCTCATGACTAGGGCGTGACACCACACTAGCAAGCCTGGATGTAGCAAAGGCAATATCAGGTCGCGTGTGGTTAGCCGCATAGTTGAGTGCCCCAACCATGGAATGGAACAGCTTCCTGTCGCTCTCACCCACCACCTCCTCATCAGCACAAGGCTCCACAGTGAAACCCGAAGGTAGTGGGGTGGCTGGCTTTCCTCCATCTTGCAGCCCATACTTCTCAGCCAGCCCCTCACAGTACTTCCTCTGGTGCAACCTCAACACTCCCTTGTCAAGGTCTCTCTCCACATGCATCCCAAGGTAATACTTGACATCTCTTATCTTCGAGCACTTGAACTGCATCTCCAGCATCTCCTCCACACGCTCAATCATTGCAGACGACTCAGAGAAGAGAAGGATGTCATCCACATACACCAGGAGCATGAGGAACTGCTCCTTCTCTTGCAGCAGGAACAAGCTGTGATCACACTCGCTCTTCTTGAAACCCCCAGCCAGCAGTGTCTCCTCCACCTTGTGGTACCATGCGCGAGGAGCCTGCTTCAGGCCATAGATGGCCTTCTTGAGCCTGCACACCCTGCTGCTCCCATCATCCAACCCCTCAGGCTGCAGCATGTATAGCTCCTCTAGGATGATCCCATTGAGGAAAGCAGTTGTGATGTCCATCTGCTTGATCCTCCATCCACGGTTTGCAGCCGTTCCCAACATCACCCTCAGTGAAGTCCCTTTCCCCACAGGAGCAAAGATCTCGTCAAAGTCCTTCCCCTTTGTCTGCTGGAACCCCTTAGCCACAAGCCTTGACTTGTAGCGGGTCAGCTCCCCATCAGGTCCATGCTTGTGCCTGAAGATCAGCTTCGAAGAGATTGCCTTCTTCCCAGGAGGCAGCTCACACAACTCCCACGTTTCATTCTCCAGCAGAGAGTCATACTCCTCCTTCACACTCTGCTTCCACTTCTCAGCATCGGGCCCACTCAAGGCCTCAGCTAGCGTCTTGGGCTCAGGGACGGCTGCCCAGTAGCAGTGTGCTATCTCATCCTCATCACACTGCTCAGCCACACGCCCAGCCCGTACCACCTTTGGCTTTCCAAAACTAGGATAGGTCAGCCTGTTAGGAGGGCGCACATCCCTCCTAGGACGGTCTGGCGGACATTGGGTATGTGGTGGAGAATCTTGCTGCTGCTGCTGCTGCTGCTCCTCCACCTCAGGTTCTCCCCCATCCTCAGTCACCCCAGAGATCTCCTCCTCTGAGACAGTGACCTGCACTTGTCTCGAAGGCCGCTGCACCTCATCAGCCTCAATGATCAGCGGTGTAGTAGGAAGCTTCTGCTGCTGCTGCTTCCACTCCTTGTAGTAGAAGGAGTCGAGGAACTTCACATCCCTTGACACAGTCAGCTACTGGCTGGCCAAGTCCCATATCAACCAGCCCTTGTGATCCTTAGCAAGCCCCAAGTGTACTCCCCATCTCCCAGAAGCCTCCAACTTTCCCCTCTTCTCCTTAGGCACATGAAACACCACCATGCAGCCGTAGGCTCTCAGCATGTTGACTGCTGGTACACTCCCATACCACTTGGTGTAGGGGACCCACTGCTTGTCCCCCACAGTCGCCAACACCCTGTTCTTCACAAGGGCGACCTGCCGCAGTGCAGTCACCCAAAACGGATCCGGCAGCCCTGCACGCCCAAGGAGAGTGCGAGCACCTTCCTGCAGGGTCCGGTTGAAGCGCTCAGCCATGCCGTTCTGCTGAGGGTTGTAGGGCACCATGAGCTGATGCTGGATCCCCTTCTTCTTCAGCACTGCCTCAAAATCAGCGCCAATGAATTCTCCCCCGTTGTCAGTGCGGATCACCTTCACCTTGTGTCCGCTCTCCCTTTGAGCTTTCGGCATCCACTCCTTAAGAACAGCCGCTGCCACTTCCCCCTTGGTCTTGAGAGGGTACACCCACACCGCACGTGTGTGGTCATCCACAATGGTTAAGAAGTAGCGGCTGCCCGAGAGAGAAGGGGCCCTCGTAGGGCCCACCACATCCATGTGCACAAACGCGAGCGGGGCCTTTGCTGGTCCTGTACTGCTGCTGAAGGGAAACTTGGTGAATTAAGTTTCAAGGCATGTAGGGCAGCTCCCAATCTCCTTTGCTGCCCCCTTCACCTCCAACCCCTTCAAGCTCCCATCCTTCACTAACTTCTGCAGCATAGGAAAATTCACATGACATAGCCTCTGCTCCTCCCTGCCTGCCGCGCCTCTGCTGCCGGCCAGCCCCGGGCGAGGGGGGCAGTCAGAGGGGCGCCCGCCAGAGAGGGAGCGTGGTGCGGCACAGGGGGGCGTGCGGGTGGGGGGGGCGGGGGTGGGTTTGGGGCAGGCGAGGTCGGCCAGCACATCGCCGGAGCTGCGGTAGCGCCGGTGGTGGTCGCCGGGAGGGGGCAGCCCAGTGGGGTGGGACGCCCGTGAGGGGCGAGTGCTGCTGGGGTCGTGGGCGGCGCTGCTGCCTGTGCGTCGGTGCGCTGCCCCCCCACTGCGCTCCCCCCTTTCGCGCTCAGGAGACGGCGACCGCTGCATGGCTCTCCTCCGCGCGCTCGCCCTGCCCTGGGTGGTGGCGGCGCTGCCATGCGGTGCGTCTAGGTCGCACGAGAGGCGCGCGTGCGAGCGCCGTGATGGGCGCGGGCGGGGGGCGTGCCCGGCACCAGGGGGGAATCGGGGCTGGAGAGGGGGGAGAGGGGGGAGCGGTGAGAAGAGGAGAGGGGGGAGCGGCGAGAGGGGGAGAGGGCGTGGTGGTGGGTGGCCCAGGCGTGCTCCGCTGCCAGCAGGCCGCTCACATCCGACTTGTGGCGCTGCAAACCCCCCACCCCTCCCACGCCTCCCACGCCGCCTGCCTTCTCCCCCAACCGCCTGCTGCCACTGCCCACTCGCCACAGCATCCTGTTCCTCCCTCCATCCCCCACTCCCACTCCACCCTGCTCCCTACCACGCCCTACCTCCGCCCCACTACCTTCATTTCGTCTCCCTCTCACCCTCTCCCCCTTCACGTCTTTTTTCCAATCCTTCTCCCGTCCCATCTCCTCTCTCTCCTTCCCCCTCTCTCTGCGCCTGTCCCTGCCGCTATCCAACTCTCTGCTTCTCTCACTGTCTCTGTCACGCTCTCTCCATCTCTGCTCCCTTTCATCATCCAACTCGAAACTCCTCCTGTATGCCCTCCCACCATCTTGCAATCGGTACCTCTCTCTATCGCCCTCCCTATCCCTCCCACTGAACCTGTCCCTTTCACTCTCCCCCTCCTCATCACTGTCCTTATCCCTCTCTTCCTCCCTGAACCTGTCTCTATCCCTCTTCCCCTCGCTCACTCTGTCTCTACCCCTCTCCTCTTCCCTGATCCTCTCTCTCTCCTCGTCTCTACCCCTGTGTCTATCCCTCTCCCACTCCCTACCTCTGTCTCTATCCATCTCCACTCGCTTTTCCCATTCCCATTCCCTGTCCATACTCAGATTTCTTTCTCGATCCCTCTCTCTACCTCTCTCCCTGCTCATGTTCCAACCTTTGCTCCTCTCTCCCTCCTCATCCCTCATCTCGACGCCTCCTTCCCTTTCCCCTCCCATGTCATTGCCCCGCGCTCCTCTCCCCTCCTCTCTCCTCATCGCCTTCCACTCCTCCTCCACCGTGCCGCCCTGCCACTCCCGTGCCCCACCTGCGCCTCTCAGCAGCCGCCCCACATCCTCCGACCAGTGCCGTGTCAGCCGTGCTGCACCGCCCACGCTTCCCTCGCTGCTGCCCGCCCTGCCTCGCACCAACTCCCGCCCATCGTCCGCGCACCCCCTCCCCCCCTGCTCCCGCCAGCCCGCGCCCTCCACACTCCTGCTAGCTGCCACGCCTTCCTGCCCACCTCGCCGACCACCACCGTCCCTCTCCCCTCCCTTAACCGCCCTCTCCCCGCCTGCCCCCACTGTGCTGGACCCGCGCGTGCCGCCCGGACGCACACCTGCCAGGCCAGCAGCTGACAGGGCGCGCGTGGGAGCATCTGCAGGGGAGGCGTTGTTGGGCAGAGGGGAGGCTGCGGGGCCGGCAGAGACGGACTCGAACCACCGATGGGCTGCGAGGGGGAAGAGGAGAGAGTAGAGGGAAGGGTGGGAGGGGGGTGTGCTGTGACGGTGGAGGGGGGTGTGCTGTGACGGCGGAGGTGGATGTGCGTTGGGGGGGGAGTGCAGGCAGTGGAGAGGCGGTGAAGAGGCGGTAGAGAGGGTCCGCCCCTGTTTGAACCGCCAGACGCCTACCCCAACTCCTCATGCTTTCCCCCCAGCATCACCCCGCCCCACGCAGATCCCTCCATCCCACCTCGCCCCTCTGTCCTACCACCCCTTCCCCCCCCCCCCCCCCCCCCAACGCACAGAGGGCCTTGTCGGGGGTGATGCGGCGGGCGGGGTGGCGGGTGAGCAGGCGCAGCACGAGGTCCTTGGCGTCGGGGGAGATGCCCGCCCACCCGCCGCTGAACACGTCCACACGTGCCGCCCGGATGGCGCTGAAGATGCCGGCCTCGCTGTCAGCCCAGAAGGGCGGCACGCCGGCGAGCAGGATGAAGAGCACGACGCCCACACTCCACATGTCGGCCTCGCAGCCGTAGCAGTGGTCCAGCACCTCGGGCGCCATGTAGTAGCTGCTCCCCGCCATCACCGTCAGCCGCGCCAATGCCACCCACACCGCACCGCCATGCGCATGCCCCCCGTGCCATGCATGCAGAGGAGAGGAGCGGGTGAGCAGAGCCGCACGGGTGAGGGAGGGAGGAAGTGGAGTGCCAGGAGGAGGCGAGATGAGCGCGTGTAAGAAATCAATGCGGGCAAACAGACTGGCACCTGGCTTGACGGGGATGGCACCTGGCTTGACGGGGATGGCACCTGGCTTGACGGGGATGGCACCTGGCTTGACGGGGAGGGCACCTGGCTCGACGGGGATGGTACCTCGCTTGACAGGAAGGGCACCTGGCTTGACAGGGATGGCACCTGGCTTGACGGGGAGGGCACCTGACTTGACGGGGAGGGCACCTGGGTTGACGGGGAGGGCACCTGGGTTGACGGGGAGGGCACCTGGCTTGACGGGGATGGCACCTGGCTTGACGGGGAGGGCACCTGGCTTGACGGGGATGGCACCTGGCTTGACGGGGAGGGCACCTGGCTTGACGGGGAGGGCACGTGGCTTGACGGTGAGGGCACCTGGCTTGATGAGGATGGCACCTGGCTTGACGGGGATGGCATGTGGCTTGACGGGGATGGCACCTGGCTTGACAGGGAGGGCACCTGGCTTGACGGGGAGGGCAACTGGCTTGACGGGGAAGGCATGTGGCTTGACGGGGAGGGCACCTGGCTTGACGGGGAGGGCACCTGGCTTGACGGGGAGGGCACCTGGCTTGACGGGGAGGGCACCTGGCTTGACGGGGATGGCACCTGGCTTGACGGGGAGGGCACCTGGCTTGACAGGGATGGCACCTCGCTTGACAGGGAGGGCACCTGGCTTGACAGGGATGGCACCTGGCTTGACGGGAGGGCACCTGGCTTGACGGGGATGGTACCTGGCTTGACGGGAAGGGCACCTGGCTTGACGGGGATGGCACCTAGCTTGACGGGGATGGTACCTCGCTTGATGGGAAGGGCACCTGGCTTGACAGGGAGGGCACCTGGCTTGACGGGGAGGGCACCTGGCTTGACGGGGAGGGCACCTGGCTTGACGGGGATGGCACCTGGCTTGACGGGGAGGGCACCTGGCTTGACGGGGATGGCACCTGGCTTGACGGGGAGGGCACCTGGCTTGACGGGGAGGGCACGTGGCTTGACGGTGAGGGCACCTGGCTTGATGAGGATGGCACCTGGCTTGACAGGGATGGCACCTGGCTTGACAGGGAGGGCACCTGGCTTGACGGGGATGGTACCTCGCTTGATGGGAAGGGCACCTGGCTTGACGGGGATGGTACCTCGCTTGATGGGAAGGGCACCTGGCTTGACAGGGAGGGCACCTGGCTTGACGGGGATGGCACCTGGCTTGACGGGGAGGGCACCTGGCTTGACGGGGATGGCACCTGGCTTGACGGGGAGGGCACCTGGCTTGACGGGGATGGCACCTGGCTTGACGGGGAGGGCACCTGGCTTGACGGGGATGGCACCTGGATTGACGGGGATGGTACCTCGCTTGATGGGAAGGGCACCTGGCTTGACAGGGAGGGCACCTGGCTTGACGGGGAGGGCACCTGGCTTGACGGGGAGGGCACCTGGCTTGACGGGGATGGCACCTGGCTTGACGGGGAGGGCACCTGGCTTGACGGGGATGGCACCTGGCTTGACGGGGAGGGCACCTGGCTTGACGGGGAGGGCACGTGGCTTGACGGTGAGGGCACCTGGCTTGATGAGGATGGCACCTGGCTTGACAGGGATGGCACCTGGCTTGACAGGGAGGGCACCTGGCTTGACGGGGATGGTACCTCGCTTGATGGGAAGGGCACCTGGCTTGACAGGGAGGGCACCTGGCTTGACGGGGATGGCACCTGGCTTGACGGGGAGGGCACCTGGCTTGACGGGGATGGCACCTGGCTTGACGGGGAGGGCACCTGGCTTGACGGGGATGGCACCTGGCTTGACGGGGAGGGCACCTGGCTTGACGGGGAGGGCACCTGGCTTGACGGGGAGGGCACCTGGCTTGACGGGGATGGCACCTGGCTTGACAGGGAGGGCACCTGGCTTGACAGGGATGGCACCTGGCTTGACGGGGAGGGCACCTGGCTTGACGGGGAGGGCAACTGGCTTGACGGGGAAGGCATGTGGCTTGACGGGGATGGCACCTGGCTTGACAGGGAGGGCACCTGGCTTGACGGGGAGGGCAACTGGCTTGACGGGGAAGGCATGTGGCTTGACGGGGAGGGCACCTGGCTTGACGGGGAGGGCACCTGGCTTGACGGGGAGGGCACCTGGCTTGACGGGGAGGGCACCTGGCTTGACGGGGATGGCACCTGGCTTGACGAGGAGGGCACCTGGCTTGACAGGGATGGCACCTGGCTCGACAGGGAGGGCACCTGGCTTGACAGGGATGGCACCTGGCTTGACGGGGAGGGCACCTGGCTTGACGGGGATGGTACCTGGCTTGACGGGAAGGGCACTTGGCTTGACGGGGATGGTACCTCGCTTGATGGGAAGGGCACCTGGCTTGACAGGGAGGGCACCTGGCTTGACGGGGAGGGCACGTGGCTTGACGGTGAGGGCACCTGGCTTGATGAGGATGGCACCTGGCTTGACGGGGATGGCACCTGGCTTGACAGGGAGGGCACCTGGCTTGACGGGGATGGTACCTCGCTTGATGGGAAGGGCACCTGGCTTGACGGGGATGGTACCTCGCTTGATGGGAAGGGCACCTGGCTTGACAGGGAGGGCACCTGGCTTGACGGGGATGGCACCTGGCTTGACGGGGAGGGCACCTGGCTTGACGGGGAGGGCATCTGGCTTGACGGGGATGGCACCTGGCTTGACGGGGATGGCACCTGGCTTGACGGGGAGGGCACCTGGCTTGACGGGGAGGGCACCTGGCTTGACGGGGAGGGCACCTGGCTTGACGGGGATGGCACCTGGCTTGACGGGGAGGGCACGTGGCTTGATGGTGAGGGCACCTGGCTTGATGAGGATGGCACCTGGCTTGACGGGGATGGCACCTGGCTTGACAGGGAGGGCACCTGGCTTGACGGGGATGGTACCTCGCTTGATGGGAAGGGCACCTGGCTTGACGGGGATGGTACCTCGCTTAATGGGAAGGGCATCTGGCTTGAGAGGGAGGGCACCTGGCTTGACGGGGATGGCACCTGGCTTGACGGGGAGGGCACCTGGCTTGACAGGGATGGCACCTGGCTTGACGGGGAGGGCACCTGGCTTGACGGGGAGGGCACCTGGCTTGACGGGGATGGCACCTGGCTTGACGGGGAGGGCACCTGGCTTGACGGGGAGGGCACCTGGCTTGACGGGGAGGGCACCTGGCTTGACGGGGATGGCACCTGGCTTGACAGGGAGGGCACCTGGCTTGACAGGGATGGCACCTGGCTTGACGGGGAGGGCACCTGGCTTGACGGGGAGGGCAACTGGCTTGACGGGGAAGGCATGTGGCTTGACGGGGATGGCACCTGGCTTGACAGGGAGGGCACCTGGCTTGACGGGGAGGGCAACTGGCTTGACGGGGAAGGCATGTGGCTTGACGGGGAGGGCACCTGGCTTGACGGGGAGGGCACCTGGCTTGACGGGGAGGGCACCTGGCTTGACGGGGAGGGCACCTGGCTTGACGGGGATGGCACCTGGCTTGACGAGGAGGGCACCTGGCTTGACAGGGATGGCACCTGGCTCGACAGGGAGGGCACCTGGCTTGACAGGGATGGCACCTGGCTTGACGGGGAGGGCACCTGGCTTGACGGGGATGGTACCTGGCTTGACGGGAAGGGCACTTGGCTTGACGGGGATGGTACCTCGCTTGATGGGAAGGGCACCTGGCTTGACAGGGAGGGCACCTGGCTTGACGGGGAGGGCACGTGGCTTGACGGTGAGGGCACCTGGCTTGATGAGGATGGCACCTGGCTTGACGGGGATGGCACCTGGCTTGACAGGGAGGGCACCTGGCTTGACGGGGATGGTACCTCGCTTGATGGGAAGGGCACCTGGCTTGACGGGGATGGTACCTCGCTTGATGGGAAGGGCACCTGGCTTGACAGGGAGGGCACCTGGCTTGACGGGGATGGCACCTGGCTTGACGGGGAGGGCACCTGGCTTGACGGGGAGGGCATCTGGCTTGACGGGGATGGCACCTGGCTTGACGGGGATGGCACCTGGCTTGACGGGGAGGGCACCTGGCTTGACGGGGAGGGCACCTGGCTTGACGGGGAGGGCACCTGGCTTGACGGGGATGGCACCTGGCTTGACGGGGAGGGCACGTGGCTTGATGGTGAGGGCACCTGGCTTGATGAGGATGGCACCTGGCTTGACGGGGATGGCACCTGGCTTGACAGGGAGGGCACCTGGCTTGACGGGGATGGTACCTCGCTTGATGGGAAGGGCACCTGGCTTGACGGGGATGGTACCTCGCTTAATGGGAAGGGCATCTGGCTTGAGAGGGAGGGCACCTGGCTTGACGGGGATGGCACCTGGCTTGACGGGGAGGGCACCTGGCTTGACAGGGATGGCACCTGGCTTGACGGGGAGGGCACCTGGCTTGACGGGGAGGGCACCTGGCTTGACGGGGAGGGCACCTGGCTTGACGGGGAGGGCACCTGGCTTGACGGGAAGGGCACCTGGTTTGACGGGGATGGCACCTGGCTTGACGGGGATGGCACCTGGCTTGACGGGGAGGGCACCTAGCTTGACGGGGAGGGCACCTGGCTTGACGGAGAGGGCACCTGGCTTGATGGGGATGGCACCTGGCTTGACGGGGAGGGCACCTGGCTTGATGGGGATGGCACCTGGTTGGACGGGGAGGGCACCTGGCTTGACGGGGATGGCACCTGGCTTGACGGGGAGGGCACCTGGCTTGCCGGGGAGGGCACCTGGGTTGACGGGGAGGGCACCTGGCTTGACGGGAAGGGCACCTGGTTTGACGGGGATGGCACCTGGCTTGACGGGGATGGCACCTGGCTTGACGGGGATGGCACCTGGCTTGACGGGGAAGGCACGTGGCTTGACGGGGAGGGCACCTGGCTTGACGGGGATGGCACCTGGCTTGACGGGGAGGGCACCTGGCTTGATGGGGATGGCACCTGGTTGGACGGGGAGGGCACCTGGCTTGACGGGGATGGCACCTGGCTTGACGGGGATGGCACCTGGCTTGACGGGGAGGGCACCTCGCTTGATGGGGAGGGCACCTGGCTTGACGGGGAGGGCACCTGGCTTGACGGGGATGGCACCTGGCTTGACGGGGAGGGCACCTGGCTTGACGGGGAGGGCACCTGGCTTGACGGGGAGGGCACCTGGCTTGACGGGGAGGGCACCTGGCTTGACGGGGAGGGCACCTGGCTTGACGGGGAGGGCGAGGCCGAAGTCGACGACTTTGACGTGCGTGTGTGAGGCGGGCGAGACGAGCAGGATGTTTTCAGGCTTGAGATCGCGGTGCATGAGGCCGTGGCACTGCAGGTGCCCCACCACCGCCACCAACGTGCGACACACCGCCGCCGCGTCCTCCTCGGGGTAGCGCTTGCGCGAGCGAATGCGGTCGAATAGCTCCCCGCCCTCACAGCACTCCATTATCAGATGCACTTGCTGGGACCGACACTTGCTGGGACCGACTCAAACGCACACACAGACACACACAGACACACACACACACACACACACAGACACACACACACACACACAGACACAGACACACAGACACACACGCACACACATCCACACCCACCCACCCGCCCACCCACCCACCCACCCGCCCACCCACCCTCCCGCCCACCCACCCACCCGCCCACCCATCCACACACACACACACACACACACACACACACACACACACACACACACACACACACACACACACACACACTCACTCACCAGCTCAGCAGGCACAGTAGAGCAATGCACACAGTGGGATTTAAAGCAATGGCGCATAGTCAGACATACAGGGCTTCAGGCAGAATCACGAGCCCGATAAAGCAGCAGCAAATTCCCGTGCTACGTGGCAACAGAGCCTGTCCGACATGACAACCCCTGCGCTTGCACCCCCTGCCATGCGCGCCGCACCTGGTCGTCTTCGAAGGTGGTGTGCAGCGCCACGATGGCGGGGTGGCCGCGCAGCTGCTGCATCACGCGCACCTCCCGCCGCACGTCCTCCACCTCGCGCGCGCCCGCCAGCCGCGCCTTGCTGATGCTCTTGCATGCCCACGCCACGCCCGTCGCCTTCTCCACGCACGCGCGGATCACGCCGTACTGCCCGCGCCCCAGCTCGCGCCCCATGCTGTACGCCTCGTGCACGCTCTCGTACGCGCGCCCTAGCACGCGCACCGTGTGCTCCGCCTCCCCCGCCTCCTCCTTCGCCGCTAAGCCTGCCTTGCGCACCAAGTCTACCGCGTCGTCAGCTCCTTCAGCAGGTGCGGCGGCTGGCGGCGGCTGCTCCGCGGCCGCAGGGGCGGCGGGCTGCGCGTCGGCGGTGTCCGCCGGGGCATTGGCGGCGGCATTTCTCCGCTTCACGAGCGATAGCAAACCCATCGGCTGCTGCAGGGAGAGCAGCGGCACTGTACGACGATGAGAGACGAGCAGCGTCAATACGACAAGAGCGAGTCGCACACGAGTCAACGCGTCGCGTCCTGCACTGGCATGTCGGTAGTTGAAAAGCACCAACCAACCTTCGTACAGACCGAATGTGGCGAAGTTCAAACGCGCAGCCCAAGTTCAATGCTAGGGCGTGTGACATTTTTCACTTTGCCCGTCCGAACGAACGCCCGTACGGACATTTTTGTCGTTAGGGCGTGGAACATTTGGGCTGTTTTTCCAGTAATATAGGGACGGCTGACGTCATCACATGCCACCCCACGGGTCCTGGCACAAAGGGATTTCGGGGCAAATCCGAAAACCCTCCGAATGTCAGATTTATATGACATTGCTACTGTAGGCTATAGTGGGGTAGCACATATGGGGTACAGTTTTCCTAGGGTTTGCATTTGTACCCAACTTTCCCTTAGTCATTCACATTCCTCGTTTCTTCTCATGGTATCGAGCAGGTTCCCTAGTGGGAACGATTCCTAGGGCCCACCACCACGAAATTTTTTTCCTGCCCGGAGCGCGCTTCGCTCCGGCCCGAGTCGCGCCCTGTGTGCTCTCCCTACCGTCGCGCCCTCGCTAGGCCCCTCACGGCCCCGTCGCGTCTCCCTTAGCGGCCCTCTCACGGCTCGTCGCGCCGCCCCTACGGCCCTTCGCGCCGCCCTTACGGCCCTTCGTGCCGCCCTTACGGCCCGTCGCGCCGCCCTTACGGCCCCTCGTGCCGCCCCTTACGGCCCCTCGCGCCGTCCCTTACGGCCCCTCGCGCGGCCCCCTACGCCCCTTACGGCCCCTCCCGCGGCCCCTCACGGCCCCCCTACGGCTCGTCGCCGCCCTCAGCGGCCCCGCCACCTACCTGTGCGGCCCCGCCACCTACCTGTGCGGCCCCGCCACCTACCTGCGGCCCCGCCACCTACCAGCGGCCCCGCCACCTACCCGCGGCCCCGCCGCCTACCTGTGCTGGCCCCGCCACCTACCTGCGGCCCCGCCACCTACCAGCGGCCCCGCCACCTACCTGCGGCCCCGCCACCTACTAGCGGCCCCGCCACCTACCTGCGGCCCTGCCACCTACCTTTGCGGCCCCGCCACCTACCTTTGCGGCCCCGCCACCTACCTTTGCGGCCCCGCCACCTACCTTTGCGGCCCCGCCGCCTCCTCTCCGCGGCCCCGCCGCCTCCTCCCAGCGGCCCCGGACGCCGCCCTCTCAGCGGCCCCGCCGAGCCGCCCAGCAGCCGCGCCGCCCAGCAGCCGAGCCGCCCAGCCGCCGAGCCGCCCAGCAGCCGAGCCGCCCAACAGCCGAGCCGCCGAGCCGCCGAGCCGCCCAGCAGCCGAGCCGCCGAGCCGCCCAGCAGCCGAGCCGCCGAGCCGCCCAGCAGCCGAGCCGCCGAGCCGCCCTGCAGCCGAACCACCCGAGCCGCCCTGTCCGGTAAGAGCAGCGCCTCTTTCACAGCCCTGCCCTCACCCTACTATTTGCGCTGCTAGTCTACTGCTGTCATGGCTACCCCTAGTGTCCTCGCTTTTGACGCTGAGGGTCGGGCCATTGACTTTGACGTCTGGATAGATGACCTGCAGCTTTTCTTACAGTGCGACAGAGCAGACGGCCTCTCCCTCTTTGACCTCACTTCTGGTGCCTCTCCTGCCCCCGCTGCTGATGCTGACGCCACTGTTCGCTCACACTGGGCCACGCGCGATGCTGCTGCACGTCTTGCTGTGCGTCGCCACCTGCCTACCTCTGAGCGTGCGCACTTTAGCCAGTACAAGAGTGCTCAGACCTTGTACGACGCTGTAGTTGCACGCTACTCCTCACCTGCCACTGCTGCACTGAGCCGCCTCATGCTACCGTACCTCTTCCCTGACCTTGCTGCCTTTCCCACAGTCGCTGACCTCATTACGCACCTCCGCACTAGTGACACTCGCTACTGCGCTGCGCTTCCTGCTGAGTTCTGCGCCAAGAACCCCCCCCCCCATGTACATCACCCTCTACTACATAGTCACCCGGCTCCCTGACTCCCTTCGCGTAGTCAGGGACCACTTCCTCTCAGTTTGCCCCACCACTCTCACCGTTGACCTCCTCGAGAAGTCCCTCCTAGCAGCAGAGAAGAGCATAGTAGCTGTAGGAGCCTCTCGTGGTGACCCTCGCACCCCCATCTTTGAGGGGTGTTCCCCCTCCCCCCTTTTGCCCTCTATTGCCTCTGCTGCTGCGGCCGACCTCGTTGGGCTTGAGTCGGTCGGTGCGGCGTCTACCCCTAGCGGGAGACGCCGCCCTGGCAAGGGCAAGGGGGGCAGGGGCACTGGAGGGGCTAGCGGGGGCGGGGGAGGCGGCGGTGGAGGCAGTGGAGGGGGTGGGGGTGGCGGTGGGGGTGGTGGTGGGGGTGGAGGTGTCGGTGGCGGCGGTGGAGGCGGAGGCGGCGGCGGCGGTGGCGGTGGGAGCGGAGGTGGCGGCGGTGGAGGAGGCGGTGGCGAAGGAGGTGGAGCTGGTCGGGGTGGCGCTGCGCAGAGGGCCGGCTCCGGTGGTGGTCAGCGCCAGCAGCAGCAGCAGCAGCGCACTCGTGACATCCCCCCCCCTCAGCAGCTCCGTGAGTGGTACGCTGCACGCCAGCGGGGTGGGGGTACTGGTCCGTGCACCTACGTCCTCCGCACCGGCGACCGCGCGGGTGACCAGTGTGGGGGTGCGCACTCCACCCAGCGCTGCTTTGGCCGCCTGACGGACGCTTGGCGTCACCAGTTCCCTGAGGCCACTGAGATCCCCCGCTGGGGTGAGCTGTCTAGGGCGGGTGTCGCTGTCTTTGACCTTGACTTTGATGCTATTCTTGCTGCCATGTATACTGTGACTATTAGTGATGAGGGTGACTGTTACCGGTGTTTTCCGCCCGACCCGGGCATTGAGACTGCTGCTCTAGGTGCTGGTGAGGCTGCTGCTCTAGGTGCTAGCGAGGCTGCTGCTCTAGGTGCGTCTGCTTCCTCAGGTGCTGGTGAGTCTGCTCTCTCAGGTTCTGCGTCGGCTTCGGCCTCCCACACCTTCACCCTTGACTCGGGGGCTTCTCGCTCCTTCTTTCGAGACCGCACCACACTCACGCCACTTGGCCGGCCAGTTGCGGTCTCTCTGGCAGACCCCTCTGGGGGTCCTGTCCTTGCTCACTTCTCCACTGTCCTCCCGTGTCCGGCGGCCCCCTCTGGCACCCTGTCTGGTCTTTACCTCCCCTCGTTCTCTACGAACTTGGTGAGTGGTGCTGACCTACAGGATGCGGGGGTTCACCAGTTCACTCCTGCGAGTCAGCGGGTGACCCACTGCACGGACGCTCGGACTGGCCGACACCTGGCCACGTTTACCCGTCGGCCGGGGTCGAGCCTGTACACCCTGACCACTGCGTCTCCTCCAGTCACTGCGTCTGGTCAGGTAGCTGCGTCGGGTCAGGTGTTTGCTGCAGCGTCCAGGTCTGGTCCTGAGTCTGCCCCCTGTTCGTGTCGCCTCCTGTCTCACGAGACTCTCCTCTGGCACCACCGCCTTGGTCACCCCTCCCTGCTTCGTCTCCGAGGCATGGCCTCCCGTGTCCTTGTCTCTGGTCTTCCCCGGTCCCTCCCTCCCCTTCCTCCGGGGCCTGGCCCTACCTGCGTCCCCTGTGTCGAGGGGCGGCAGCGGGCTGCCCCTCACTCCTCCCAGTTTCCTCCGACAGAGGCCCCGCTGCAGACGCTTCACATGGACGTGTGGGGCCCGGCCCGCGTCCGTGGACAGGGTCACGAGCGCTACTTCCTGCTGGTGGTTGACGACTACTCGCGTTACACCACAGTCTTCCCCTTGCGCAGCAAGGGTGATGTCACTGAGGTGTTGATCGACTGGATCCGCGCAGCTCGTCTCCAGCTCAGGCAGAGCTTCGGCTCGGACTTTCCTGTTCAGCGTCTGCACTCTGACAGAGGTGGAGAGTTCTCCTCTGGCCTTCTGCGAGCCTACTGTCGTGCACGAGGCATCCGCCAGACCTTCACGCTTCCGGACTCTCCACAGCAAAATGGGATTGCTGAGCGCCGCATTGGCATGGTCATG